AGAGAGAGAGAGAGAGAGAGAAATCACAGGTGTGGAAAGACAACTTTTAAGTAAGTTCTCTCCTTGCATATGGGTTCCAGGGATGGAACTCAAGCCATCAGTGTCAGCCACAGTTCCTCCTCTGAGCTATCCTGCTCGCCCTCTTTATTCAGGTAGTAGTAAGTGCTTTAGCTTAATTTTTTTTTAAACTCCAGGATTGCTCTTTTTGTTGTCCATATGCATGAATACCATGGAGAACCAGCTTCTCATTTTTTACTCCCTCCACCCCATGCTCATTGTAATTTGATTGAGATTGTGTTGTTTTTGTAGAACAATTTGGGGAGAATTGACCTTTTAACACTAGTGAGCTTCCTAACTCCTGCACCTGGTATGGTTGTCGGTAATGTTTTTTGGTAACATTGTGTCATTTTCAGTGTTTTTTTGTTGTTAAGATTTTGCTTTATTGCTGGGCGTGGTGGCGCATGCCTTTAATCCCAGAACTCAAGAGGCAGAGGCAGGCGGATCTCTGTGAGTTCAAGGCCAGCCTGGTCTACATAGTGAGTTCCAGAACAGCTGGGGCTACAGGGAGACCCTGTCTCAAAAAGACCAAAAAGGAAAAAAAAAAAAAAAGATTTTGCTTTGTTTTGGATTTGGATCTATGTTAATGATGTGCATTTGCCTGCAGTTTTCTTATGTATTAGACTTTTGGGAGTAATGCCATGCTGCCCTCATGAAATATATTGTCAAGTCTTCCCTTTAATTTTCTTAGAGAATGTTTTAGCCAGGCATGGTGTTTTCTGCCTGTAATTCCAACACTTTGGAAACTGAGGTAGGAGAATTTTGAATTTGAGGTTAGCCTGGGCTACTTGATGAGACCCTGAATTTAAAAAATATATATGAAATTGATGTTATTTTTTCCTTAAAAGCTTGATAGAATTCTCCAATGAAGCAGTCTGGTCCCATGGTTTTCTTTATGAGAAGAATGGTTGATAGATTCAGTTTGTGAGACAGGATGCTTTCAAATTTTGTGCTCATCAATTTTAGTAAGTTGTATTTTTCAAAGAAAGTATCAAATTTAGTTTCAGGTAAAATTATTTATTTGTGTGTGTACATGTGTGTATATGTGTGTGCATACACGTGTGTACATGTATGCCTCCACAGTTGTGTGGAGGTCACAGGACAATTCTTGGGAATAGGTTCTCTTCTTGAACTCCTGATGCCAGGCCTATGCACATGTGTGTCTACTGGCTGAGCCATGGTTCCAGCCCCTTAATAACTTCTAAACTTTTTTGTTTGTTTTTGAAAGAAGTTTATTGCTGAACAAAAGTTTCTGGACAAAGAATTCAAACTGAAAAATTGCAAGTTTTCTGTTTTTTCTTTTTCAAAAAATTGTGTTTTTTTTTAATATTTGAGAATTTCAAACATGAGTATTATATTTCCATCATTTCCACCTCTCCCAGTTCTCCCTCCAGCAGCTCCCACATCCCTCTCCTCAATTTTTTGTCCTCTTCCTTGATTATTATTATTACATATTATATATATATATGTATAAACACTGAATCTATTTAGTGATGTTTGTGTGTACGTATGTTTAGCACTGACCACTTGGGATTTGATAACCTATTGGGAGCCCATCACTGGAAAAAACTGATTCTCCATCCCTCAGCCATTGACTGCCTGTAGCTCTTCTAGCTCTTCATCTAGAGGTGTTAACTTTTTTTTTTTTTTTTTTTTTTTGAGACTCAGGGATCTGAAATGATGTCCTTTAGGTAATTTCTGATATTGGTGATTTTTTTTTTTGATCAGTGTTGCTAAAGGTTCTCCAATTTTCATACTTTCCTGTGTTTGCTTCCTATTTTTCTCTTCTTTACTCACTGTTTTCCTTTCACATTCTTTGAACTTAATTTGCTTTTTGTTTTTGAACTTGTTGAGGCAGAAGCTTAGCTATTGACTATCATCCTTTACTTCCAATGCAGGCGTTGAAGGTGTAAATTCCTTTATAATCATTGCTTTAGCTCTATCTTGTTTTTATAGTCTTATTTTCAGTTTTATTTATTGCAGATACTTAAAAATTTCCATTTTGATATGTTTCCTTTTTTCAACTCATGGGCTATTGAGAAGTATATCACCTAATTGTCCATCCATAGAGGATTTTCTCTATTAAAAAAAAAATTAGTTCTGACCAGGCGTGGTGGTGTACCCTTTAATCCCAGCACTCAGGAGGCAGAGGCAGGCAGATTTCTGTGAGTTCAAGGATAGCCTGGTCTACATAGTGAGTTCCAGGCCAGCTGGGGCTATAGGGAGACCCTGTCTCAAAAAGAAACCCCCTCCCCTGCAAAAAAAAATTAGTTCTGGCTTAATTGCACTGTAGTCAGGAACTATACTAGGAAAGACATCAGTCTTGGAAATTTGTTAAGACTTGTTTTAAGACTTAAAGTGTGGTTCATTTGATGTGTTTTAGGTATAATTTGTGTATTGGGGGAAAACATTGTGTGTGTATCCATGTTTATAGTTGTATAACATTATGCTTGCATAGATATTTTTAGATACTCTTTTATCTCTTCAATTAATTCTTATTGGGTATCTTAGTGATTATTATATGAATTTTTGAAGTTATTGAAGTTTTAACATTACTTTTACTATTTCCAGACAAAAGATATCTTAGAAACTTTAATTTCATGTGCCCTGTCTTTTAGGCTGTCAGCATTTTAAGTTTACATGTATTTATTTATTGTAGTCCTAGGGATTGAATCTAGGCCTCATATTAGATAAGATCTGTACCACAGGTCTATTTCCTCAGCCCTTTAAATGTTCTAAACTTAACAGACTGTTGATATTGATGTTATTTTGCCATTCATTTATGTGTACCAACACGTTAACCCATTCTGACCCATGTTACATTCATGTTTTTAATTATCATTTCCTCCTACCAGACAAACTCCCTTTTACTGTTTCTGTCAGTGATAAATTCTTTGAATTTTTGAATAAAAATTATTTCTGAAATAATTTTTATTTCATTTTTCAAAGATTTTTAAAATCTGAGAATAGATTTTTAAAAAACATTTTTTAAAATTTTTATTTATTATTTTTATTTTATGTGTATGTGTGTATTGCCTGCATGTAGGTAAGTGCACCCGTGTTGTGCAGTGCCCATGGAGGGCAGAAGAGGCTGTTGGATCCCTTGGAACTGGAGTTACAGACAATTGTTAGCTGCCATGTGGGTGCTAGGATTCGAACTTGGGTCTTCTGCAAGAACAGCCAGTGTTCTTAACCACTGGGCCATCTCTCCAGCCCTTATTTATTTTTAATGTATGCTTGTGCCATGCCCATATGTAGAAGTCAGAGGACAACTTTTGGGAGTCAGTTCTCTTCTCAACCATATGGATTCCAAGGATGGAACTCAAGTTCTCAGACTTGGCAAGTGTTTGTTTTTATTTTATGAGTGTTTTGCCTGCATGTAAGTGCACCCATGTGTGCAATGCCTGTGGAGGCCAGAAGAGGGAATCTGATGCCCTGGAACTGGAGTTAGGGATGGTTATTATCTGCTACATGGGTGCTGGGAACTGAATGGGGTCCTCTGAGAGAATAGCCAGTGTTCTTGAGCACTGAGCCATCTCTCCAGCCCCTAGAATAGATTTCTTTATTGGTACCTATTTTTATTCAGATCTTGAAAAAGATACCTGTTGCCTTCTGTCCTTTATTTCTGCTGAAAGTTGCTTTTAGTCCGTTGATCTATTTTAGATGTACATTATTTTCTTTAGCTGTTTCAGGCCTTCTCTTTGTTGTTAGGAGTTTGGCTGTGATTTGTTTGGTTGTTTTTCTTTGCGTTTATTCTGTTTGTGTTTTACAGCCATGGCTTCATGTATCTGGTTAGTGTTAAAAAGTTCTTGGTTCTTATCACTTCAAAGATTAATTTTTCCTAATTTATACTTTCTGAAATTTCAATTACATGTGTGCTAGGACTTTTTCATAGGATTGCATATACTACTAATACTCTTTTCTACATTCTTCAGCCTTTCCCTTTGCTTTGATGTGGGTATTGTCTGTTAACCTGTGTTATTTGTGTTTGCACAGTTCACTCTACTAGGCATACCAAGAACTAATAATACTTGAGAGAAATTTTGCTATGAAGAAGAGCAAGGATATAGGCATAGTAATTAGGCCATGGGGGAATGTAGAGGTAGGCTTTGTTTATTTTTGGACACAATGTACTAAAGTATGTTGATGTTAAGATTGTTCAGTATAGAGAGAATAAAAGTTGTGTTGGATAGAAAAGGAAGATTTTTAAAATCAGAGTCTTTGCAACAGTAATAAAGGATATAATGAAAAGCACAGTTAGGCTTTCCTTTGATAGGAGCAGAGCAGAGAGGGCAGGCACTGGTTCATGTGTATCAGTAGTCTTCAGAGGTGGAATTGTGCTTGCCAGTAGAAATATGTAGATTTTGTAAGTGGTGTGGGTGTGTGTGTGTGTGTGTGTGTGTGTGTGTGTGTGTGTGTCTGTGTGTTGCAGAAGGCAGGGGAGGAGAGAGGATGGAGACAGTGAATGGGAGAAGGAAGAGGCGAGGAAAATTGTCCCCGAATTAGAGTTCAGTGAAAGAGAGGCTATATTTATAGCTTCCTAATTATGTTTTCTAGTCCTGTGACTCTTGAGTGCTTTCTACCTTTATTTCTTAGGGTTTTCAAAGTATGGTAGTGCTTTTGTTTGCTTATTTTGAGGTGGGGGACTTGTTATATTGCTTAGGCAAGCCCCAAACTCCTGAACTCAACGGATCCCTCTGAACTCTGCCTCCTGTACAGCCGGGAGTACTGGTGTACATCACTCTGCAGCTAGAGGACTGTACAGTTCTAGGGGACTATTTAAATGCTTTAGTTAGGTGTTTCTTTTTTTGTCATGTAATTATAATTTTGTACTATATATTTTAAGCATAGTTCATTGTTTCTATGCATTTAAAATTATACTTAAAAGTATTTTGAATAAGAAATTATCTTATTAAACTTATTTTCCCTATTTTCTTTTACAGTTTTGTACTAAAAGAGCACAACCATGTTTCGGAATAGTCTCAAAATGCTTCTTACTGGTGGGAAATCAAGTCGTAAAAACAGGTCAAGTGGTGAGTGACTACTCTGCATTTATTTTGTGTGATATTTTAGAACTTCAGGCTATTTTAGGGATCTGAACTAATGTTATAACATTTAGCATATTTATTAAGTTTATTAAATTAGAGGAAAAGAAAATTTATATTCCAGTAGGCTGTCATGTTCTTTATTAAAAGGTGTAGGAATAGTCAGGTCAGTGAAAACCATGCAGGAAAAGTACGTGTTTCTATTTTATGAGAGAATAATGTTTATGGATGTCTATTTAGTAAAAATTCTAGACTGATTTTTTTTAAATTAAGAAAGGAATTTTTGCAGTTCTAGGTACTTTATGAGGAAACTTTTACAAACAGGAACTTTTCCCATAGATTTGTACAGAAAGTAAGATTTGTACAGAAAGTAAGGCCCAATGCTGAACACATGTAAGTCTAGCATTCTGGAGACCGAGGCAGCAGGATCAAGTGTTTAAGGTCATTCTTGGCTACCTAGTGAACTCTAGCCCAACATTGGCCATGGTGTAAGACCCTGTCTAAAAAAAAAAATTAGGTATTTTTACAAATGTTAAAGTTTATAAGGTTTTTTTGTTTTTGTTTTTAAAGAATAAGAGGATAAGTCGGATGTTTTAGGTAGAAGAAAACATTTGGAGACAGTATTGAATAGAAATGTGTTTCATTTTTGTTATTGTTAAAAGGTGAAAAAAAAAAGGCCAGGTGTGGTGGCACAAGCCTTTAATCCCAGCACTTGGGAGGCAGAGGCAGGCAGATCTCTGTGAGTTCAAGGCCAGCCTGGTCTACATAGTGAGTTCCAGGCCAGCTGGGACTACAGGGGAGATCCTGTCTCAAAAAGACAAAAAACAAAAAATGGTGATAGACTTTATATTTTGTACAATATTTTCAGCGTAACTTCTCTTCAGTTTATAAATTTACGTTGGTAGTATGTTCATTACAGTTCATTTCAAATGTTACAATTCCCACTGTGATTTCTTCTTGACCTTTAGAGAGATAAGTATACTTAACAGTTGTTGGTTTCCTGATTATTCTTATTTTAGGAAAGAAGTTTTAAAGGTTTATTATTTATTTTATGTGTATGTGTGTGTGTGCCTGTGTGTATATGTACCATGTGCATGCTGATACCTGCAGAGGCCAGGAGAGAGCAGTGGAGCCCCAGAGCTGGAGTTAAATGTGGTTGTGACCTGTCTGATATGGATGCTGGGGACTGAACCCAGGTCTTCTGCAAAAACCATATGCTCTTTTAACCACTGCGCCATCTCTCCAGCCCCGAGAAAAGTTTCTTTTGAACTCCTAGACCTGGAGTTAAAGGCAGTTGTGAGCTGTATGATACAGATGCTGGGAACCAAACCCAGGTCTTCTGCAAAAGCTGTATGCACATCTGACCACTGTGCCATCTCTCCAGCCTGGAGAAAAATTCTTTTAAACTAGCTAAAAGAAAATATTTTATCTCTACTGACCCAAGTAATTCTAGCCACAATCTATTTCAGCTGTCTTGCAGACACTAACTGGATGTTTTCAGTCCAACTTAATTTTAACACTACCTGGAGCAAGCATAGAACTCACAAGGTCTTGATTCCTCAAGCTGCCTCCCATTTTAGATATCAATCATAAGTGGTGAATTCCCAGGTTACCCTCAATTTCTATCTGATTTGACTACCTACTAGAGTTTTTAAAGAATTTTTCCTTAGGTTTATTTGCTAGAACAGCTCACAGAACTCAGGAAAACAAGTTATTTAAGAGGTTACTGGTTTATTACCGAAGAATACAACCCAGAAATAGTTCATTGGAAGAGAATGGTAAAGTGTGAGGAACCAGCATTGAGTTTTCATGGCCTTTTAAATTTTGCCACCCTCTCAACACCTCTATATGTTTACCAACCAGAAAGCCCTCTGAACTTCATCATTGTGCTTTCTATGGAGACTTCACTACGTAGATATGATTAAGTTCAACTCTTCCTTCAAGACATCAAAAGCTAAGGCTGAGGATAACATAGCTGGTTTCCTGGCAGCAAGCTCCCATTTTAAGGCTGTCAAGAGCCATCAGCCATCCCCTGAGCATACCAAAAACAAACAAAGAAACAAACAAACCCCACCACTTGAAATTTTCATATGTTTTAGAACTAAGTACCAGGAAATAGGATCAAGACCAAATATATATTTCTAGCCATGTCACATTTATTGTTCCATAATCTATTCTGAATTATTTAATGGTTTTAGTATTTATTGAGATTTGCTTTGTAATTCATGTATTAAAATTTGGTAAAGGTTCTGGGTGTTCCTGAAGATAATGTGAGTTTTGTATTCAGTCTAGATCAATTTTGTAAATGATGATCCTCAAATATTTCGTCTTTACCCATTTTTTTTAAAAAAGTTCATTCCTGAGAAGGATGTGGTAAAACATCCTGCATACTATGATTGTGGATTTGTCACCTAATTCCCAGCATGTTTTTTTGCTTTAGATGTCTGAAAGCTCTCTTCTTAGATAAATTAAAATTTAGAATTGTTGTCTTCCTGGTGAATTGACTATTTCACCATTATGAAGTAAACGTCTAGTAATTACAATTGGAAGTTTACTTTGTTTTGTATCAATATTCTAATCTGCCTTCATCAGTGTTTGCAAGATAGGATTTATTTCATTAACTTACTTTCAGTATTTCTACACGATTATGTTATTAATAGTGAAATTATTTTTAATTCATTCTACTTTTTTATTCTGGTAGACACATTAGTCAGCATTAATTCAGTCAGGGATGCATCTGGTTTTAAACATAACAATTGCTGTGTCTTCTGCTTGTTCCAGCAGCTCTGTACTTGCTTCTTTCTTCTTTCTTCCTGTCTTTTAGAGTAACCAAATCACTTTTGTTTTTCCTACTTACTCCAATATCTTGAAAATAATATTCTGTTGTAACCTTTAAGTGGTTACCCTAAAGATTCAAACAACAATCAAAATTTTATTAATTGATACTTTGACTCTCTTCATGTACAGTCTAAGATTGTTGGATTCTTTTTTATCTATTTGTACTTTAAATTCTACAAGACAGTTCTATTGTAATTTTATGTAGTCATTGATTATTTCTGAGTTGCTTTTCTAGTTGCTATGAAGAAACACTTGACAAAAGCACCTCAAGGGAGGTTGGATTTATTCTGGCTCATGGTTTACAGGGCCACAGGCCATCGTGGTGGAGAAGTCTCTAGGTGGCAGGAGCAGACTCATGACTATGGCAGTGAGAGTATGAGTCTGCACTGCTTCATATGGCCACCAGGCCAGGAAGCAGAGAGGCTCAGACCAATAGTTGGGTAAGCCTGTAACCTAGTGAATTCATGACCATCCTAGACTATATGAGATCCTGACTCAGAATACTAGAGGGGCAAAAAAAAAGTTTTATTGGGACACAGCTGAATTTTTGCATTATGGATTTGCTGATTCTTATTCCAGGCCAGTTCACACAGTCATAAATTTGTGTTGATTTCTGTTGCACTCAGTGGAATCTCTGCTTATGCAGGTTAGTCTTCTACCTATGCTTAGATTTAGTAAATTATCATCATGATCTCAACCTTTATTAGGAAGTATTAGCTTTCATCAACAGATGTCCTTAGGTCTTAGAATAAAATTCTAACCTTACAAACTATTTGATAATATGAACACTGCCTGCCTCCCACACCTTTTTTAATGCTCACTGGTCTTTTACTTTTCACCATCGAAAAATTCTTCTTACCCCAACCCCTTTTTATCTTTATACTATATATCAACCAATGTTATTTTACATTGTTTGTATGTTTTGTTTTTGCATGTCTTCTTTAAGTTTACTAGCTAGATGTTCCCATAATCTTTAATGTTGCCTATAGATTCATAGGAATACACCTTTTTTAATGCTCACTGGTCTTTTACTTTTCACCATCGAAAAATTCTTCTTACCCCAACCCCTTTTTATCTTTATACTATATATCAACCAATGTTATTTTACATTGTTTGTATGTTTTGTTTTTGCATGTCTTCTTTAAGTTTACTAGCTAGATGTTCCCATAATCTTTAATGTTGCCTATAGATTCATAGGAATTGAGTTAATGAATAAATACTCTTTTCTCTTCTTGACACCCGCTCGGCTCTGATACCTGGTTTTTTTGGCTATATGGAAATTAAACCCAGGGATTTGCACATGCTAGGCAAACACTATACCGTTGAACTGTATTCCCAACTCAACTTTATAAAGAACTAATTAGAAACTTAGTTTGGTAGTTTGGCAGGACCTGGCTTGTCTTAACTTCTCTACCTTCTCTACTCTTATGCTCTATAACTCTTATTCAGAAAGTTTCTACTTATTCAAGTCAGTTTTAATCATGTCTTTTCTCTACCTCTTTAATCATGGCATTACCTCTGTCTAGAATAAACTTGCCATTTATATTTGAGTCATTAAAGAAATCTACTCAGCCATTAAAGTTGAGCATATATTTCACTCTGGCTCACAGTGATCATTTTTTTGCCCACCTTCCTGTAGTGCTTACTATTTACATTCCCCATGTGTAATTTAATGTAATATTTTGTATTGTTTATGAACTTCCAGAAATACGTTTCTGTTGTAGTTAAGTTTATTCCCAAGGATAGAAACTATGTACTTGCTATTATTCTTACAGTAGCTTATCCTGCTGCTATATGTTTACTGACCTGTATATGTACTTCATTAGAAGAGATTGTAAAGAAGTCATCATAGTCACACTTGAGTTCAGTGGAGCTTGTGTTGAGTAACAGCAGCCTGACATTTGTACATGTTCGGTGTTTCACAAAGGTAACTGCTACACGTATTTTCTTATTTAGTCTTTATAGCAAACACCACTCCATTTTATTGATGAGAGATATAAAACTTAGCTCAACATTATGTATCTAGTTGACCTGGTGATGTGTAGGTCATTGGTAGAGCATGTAGTAGGCATGCAGGTGACCCGAAGTTCAATCCCTAGCATTGCAGAAATAAATAAATAAATAAATAAGAGATTATACAAGTAGTAGGA